TACTTTAAAGTGTATAAATAAGTTACCCGGGCAATTGATTTACATCAGCCAATCATATGAAAGTCCTCCTATGACTGTAGACCACATCCACTTATTTGCACCGGTAATACAAACCTCTAAAAAGAAAATGGCCAATCTGAGAACGTAAAATGTGATGATTCTGGATTAGCTCAACATGTGAGCAAAGCAAAGAAAACCACCAAAAAAGAGAAAATACTCAAAAACTAGTGTTTAAATCAACCTTTTTAGACTAATAAAAAATAATGAGAATGAAATTTTACATATAAAAAACTCAAATTATCATTAAAAGCTCACAACCCTAACACTAACCCTAATGTCTTAATTCTACATTTATTTACAAATACGATTTCCTTTTTTGGTTTGTATTACCGGCATAAATAAGTAAATTGTCCGTAGACCTGGCATTTTTTAGAGTCATCTAAAGCCATATACCCATGTAACTTTTTTGCGTAAATTAACCAGCCAGGATCGTGAAAGTTTGTTTATACAGATCAGCTCGAAGAAGTTAAAAAATAAAGAAAATGTAAAAATATAAAAAACAACAGTCTAAACCTGTCTTGAAGCATTAACAAAAAATGTTGGTGAGACGATTTTACCTATAAACTACTCTGCCTCTAACCTCACCCTAATGCTAAACTGTTTCTATTTCTAATTTTAATCAAAACTTCGAAAAATTACATGGGATGGCTTTAGCCATCCCCTATTGTAGTCGACACTACATAACCGATTTTCGGAGCTTTGATAAAAAAAATTTATGAAATAAGAATTATATATTAGCGTACAAATTTGTACGCTAGACGGTTTAAGAGATAAGAATTCTAAATTGGGCTACCCCGATCCTGAATCGGGATAGCCGGATTCTGGATCAGGCGGCTTCCCCGGGGTAACAGCCCAATAAGCAATAAACTTGAAACCCATATGACAATTATCTAAATTTTTAATTCATGATTTCCTATATTTATTAAATTAATTACTTTAAAACGGTGCAACTTAATTAACCCTTTGAAATTTTCACAAGTAACTTATTAAAAGTTGGAGAATAAAGTTGCGCTTTCAGATTTTCCATTAACATATAAATTTGAACGTTCGTCTTATAAATAATTTAAATTTCATTAATTTCATTAGCTAAAGTGAAAAAAAAAATCAGATCTTAACCGTACAAGTCGAAACTTTAATAGAATTTTTGCGAAAAATCGAGCGTAACTTTTTAGAGATGACTTTTGCGAAGAGCTTTCAGTTAAAAGAAATTAGAAAAAGAAGTGTGATGTCAAGGTGCGTTCTTTAGCGTTATTTATTAATTAAATATATATTTTAATTTCTCTGATTAAAATCCGATCAAGTAAAATTACTAATACTGATATAGTTTTGATTTACTAGTTGAGTTACCGCGTGATTCTATTAAATTATCCATCTTTGGTAATTATTACACTTGTGTGATATAATCCTCGTGATCCTCGCCTTTCCTTTTTTTACTGGTACATTTTGTACACTACACGAGATATTTTTATTATATTGCGTAATACGTACAATTAAAAATGCTTTCCTTTTGGGGAGTATGTAATTGTCTTTTGATTGGTTATTGTATGCTAATATATCGATGCAAATACGTAAAATTATTTCAATCGATATGCTAATTTTTTTCTATTCAAATGGAAAAGGAACAAGATATAATATCTTCTAATAACCAAAATGGTGCCGAGACATCAGAAATACCAGACAATCAGGTTAAACTTAGTAAAAAGACTTTGGCTTTGTTAAATGCAGATCAAAATCCTTCCGAGAATGACGATATTCCAGTTTGGCAAAAGACTACAATGAACCTTTTTTATTCGATGCTCGGCGAAGAGCCCCCAAATTATGTTAACCGCTCTATTCCGCGTCAAATTAAAGAACCTGGGCGCCCTTCAGAAGTTCAGTTATCTGCTCCTTACATTGAAGAACAGCGTCCTGAAAATCCCGACTTTATTAGGCGTATTTCCACTCAAATATTTGAAGCAAATGAGGAAATTGAGCTCGAAGGTAAGCTTTTCTATATAAAATGTTCTATTAAGTATTAAAATTTTCAATTTTAATCTATAATATGCTATTTAGAACCTTCTACATCTACACGGAGAAAGAATTTGAGAGCACAGTTAGTTAATGCTGTTAAACTGACAACCGCAAACATAAGGTTTGCAAAGGGTGATGGTAGACAATTACAGGACGTTGGTGATGGTGATAATTTTACATGGTTAACTTCTGTACCGTTTTTATGGTTCAAAAGAGATCCTAAAGGGCGTAAAGCGGTATTGATACTTTATATATATATATATATGTTGTGACGTATTCCTGGCATTCTTTCGTCAAATTCATAATAAGAACGTCAAGACATTTCAGGAATCGTCATTTTCGTTCTATCAACTTTCAACTTATATTACCATTTGAATATCGGAATCCAGCCTCCCGTCATAATCGATATGCTGAGAGTATGGCTTTTTTTTTCCTCTCATAGTGAAACTTTAAATTGAAATATTAATTCTTTTAATCAATTCATTTAGCTTGCAATCACTGACTCTGAAAGTGATCCGATACACAATTGGCAAAGCATTTTTAGAATCGAATTAGCTTACGGTGATGTTAAATGGGTAGTAAAGCGAACTAGTTTTGATTTTATAACTCTTCATGTTAATCTGACACGAAGATCTGAGCTTTCAAGTTTGGTACCAAAATTTCCTTCCGGAATTTCCAATTGGTTCAAAACTAAGATCTTTCACTCGCGTAAAGATCGTCAAGATATAAGTCATTCTGCCGCTCTTGAAAGGCGAAAGGAATTAGAAAAATATCTCATTAATGTGATGAAAAGATTGTGGTTGCACCTTCATATTTCTTATGAACTTTATGCATTTCTGGAACTTAGTGCGATTTCCATTACTAGAGATATGGGATGGAAGGGTAAAGAAGGTTATATGGAACACAAAGTTGAACGATTTAAACATCCTGTTTGTTCATTTAGATTGGCAAACGAAAAATGGGAACAAAGATGGATTTTAGTTCGCGATTCGTATCCTTACTATAATAAATAAATATATATTATATATATATATATATTTCTGTCTTTTTTTTTTTTTTTTGTTATATAATTCTCAATAACTTTATTTATCAATTAGGTATATTGCCTTTTGTTCACACGTTAGTTCAACGACTCCTGCGGATGTTTTTCTTATAGATAAACATTTTAAATGTGATAAATTGGAACCAAAAGGACTTTCTCAGGTGTTACAAATTCATGAACATATTGAACTTAGAAATAGTTCACGTCGAATTGAAATTAAAACTGATTCACATAGTTCAAAGGCTTTCATGGAAAGCATTGATATTATTAAAAAGGCTTCTCCATGGGTTAAACAACATCGGCATGATGCATTTGCTCCCATTAGAGAGAATGCAAGAGTTAAATGGTATGTCGATGGCAAAGATTACTTCTTTGCTGTGTCACAGGCTTTATTGGCTGCAAAATCAGAAATTTATATTGAAGACTGGTGGCTATCACCTGAATTGGTGAGCTTAATAATTGATTTTAAAGATTTTCTTTTAAACGTGCATACTAATTATAGATTTTTTAATAAGTATCTTCGCAGGCCACCTTCTGAAAATGAAGAGTTTCGACTAGATAGATTATTAAAAAAAAAGGCCGAAGAAGGCGTGATGATTTACATTATTGTATATAAAGAAGTTACTGTTGCTTTAACTTTGGATTCTCATCATACCAAATTTTACCTTCAGGGTTTGCATAAAAATATTAAAGGTTTGTATTAAATTGAACGTTATATATTTATGATCTCTATTTAAATTCATATATGTAAAACCTTTTAGTACAAAGGCATCCTGATCATGGTATTGAAGGAGTAATATTCTGGGCAGTAAGTTATTTTATCAAGCTTTTTAAACATTATTTATGTACTTTATTACATATCACTATTAATACTATTAATATTATTTATATAGCATCATGAGGTAGTGTCTAATCTAATTTTATGATTATTAGTAATTTCATAATTCTTTTTATTAGATAAGCATGATTTTTTATCGCTTAAATTTTTTAGAAAATGGTAGTAGTTGACAGTCGTATAGCATTTATTGGTGGGTTAGATTTATGTTTTGGACGTTATGATACTCATTCTCATGAGCTATCTGACTGGCCTCAAAATACGGATGGCCCAACTATATGGCCCGGTCTAGATTATTCAAATCCAAGAATAAAAGATTTCCAAAATGGTAAGGGATCGGGATATTTGGTCGAATATCAGTAAATGTAATTTGCACGTACGCTCGTGTCTTCATTAATCCATAATAATTATTTTTGACATAATCTAACAA